GAAAGAAAGAAAGAAAGAAAGAAAGAAAGAAAGAAAGAAAGAAAGAAAGAAAGAAAGAAAGAAAGAAAGAAAGAAAGAAAGAAAGAAAGAAAGAAAAAGAGAGAAAGAGAAGAAGAAACCCTCAGGAGACAGTTGCTGAAAAACCTGGTGGCCAAGCAGTGCCCCAGGCACATGTCAGAATTGTTTGTGTGTCCTGGGAAAGACCAAACTCCCTCTACAGTTAATACAGCACTTTTGTTTCTGGAAGTTTTATTCTCATCCTGAGTCATTATTAAGCCGTTCTTGAAAAAATACGGGAGAACAAGGAGCTACACTGTTGGGATGTTGTAGGCAGCCTCAGAGACTAAGAATCGCTTCTTGATAATGTACGTAGGATGGACGATAAGATGGTCGGCAAAGGTATCAAAATGTTCTGCAAACATTCATGGGAAACCAACTGGGCGACCAGATGTGTCGTCTTTTAAGTATTGGCAGATAAGACCTAACCAGATCTTCTACTTACGAATTTGCTGTTAAGTCAACATGTGGAAGGTGTTTGATGGCAAAGCCAGAACACAGAGGCCTTAGACTTGCTTGATTCTTCAATCATACAACTGAGTCTCAGAGATAAATTTTATTCATCCAAAATAAAAGAGCCAGTAGTGAGAAACGAGAATGAAAATCTGGGGTTTCTGGCTGAATTTTTATGTTCTCTCCATGATAACATTTTTCCCTTTAGGTATTTTTTTTTCCTTCAGATTATTCTATCAACGCCTACCATTTCTTTCCCAGAGCTATGACTTCCACTACATCCATTTGCTGATTTATGTAATTGGTAGTTTAATAAGAATGATTCAGTATGTACTTATGAGTACATTCCTGAGCCAATCTAGATGACACCGTACTTTCCAAAAGTGTACTCAGTGGCTCTTGAGTGGACATCACATACTACGGGGTGGGGGCGGGGTGGAGTTATCTGCAATGCAATCTTATCACCTCCTTCTGTGATTCCTTTTTCTTTTTTATGCCTCCCAGGACTGGAGACCAAACCCAGTGACGTTAGCATTCTTCCCCTGAACTAAATTCCCAGCCTTACCTCTTTATTTAAAAACCGCTTTTTTATGACCCTTCGGTCAGTTGGTGATTTTTCATTCTAGTTTCCAGCCACCAACCATACACTAACAAGCTATCAGAGGCTCCCTGCACCTCAAGTGAACAGGCTGGGAGGCACTCGGGAGAGCAGAGGCCTTGAACTCTTTTGAGTGCTTGCCCGACCACTGCCCTTTACAGTATACATGATAAATCCTTTAGCTTCTAAGAAGGATGACAGGGGGGAGCAGGAGTGGGGTGGGAGGGAACTGATGGAACAAAATGGTGTCACTGGAGAAGTCTGGGGTGGGGGGGACTGATGGAACGGAATGGCGTCACTGGAGAAGTCTGGGGCTCTGTAAAACTTCCCTTTTACCTGCAAAAACCATTTGAGCCAAGCACCTCAGTGCTCGCCCTTTCTCAGGATGATGGTTGCTGGATTTATCTTAGTTTGGGAGTGGAGTGGGGCGGGGCGGTGAGTACAAACCAAGAAAAAGGCTCGGCTTTCACATCAGAGCCAACTGGAAAACCAAAAAGTGTAGAGATGCCTAGGGCCTCAGCTTTGATGGGTATGTTTCAGGTTATAGAGACGAGAATGGGAGGAGGGGTCAATGTTTTGTTTTGTTTTTGTTTTTCAAGACATATTTTCTCTGCATCACCCTGGCTGTCCTGGAACTTGTTCTGTAGACCAGGCAGGCCTTGAACTCACGGAGATCCACCAGCCTGTGCCTTCCAAATGCTGGGATTAAAGGTATGTGCCACTAAGCCTGGCTGAGGAGTCAATCTTTAAGCCTGCCCAGATGGTTCTAATGTGGAGCTGAGGTTGAGAACCACTGTTCTCTACAATCTCCATAGTGCCTGTCTGGGTGTCTGTCCTATGCAGGGTGGAGGGTAGAACGCAGCACATCTGAGAATAAAATGATTCATGCCAAACATATGGAACAAAATAGAGAACCTGCAATTTTTTTTTTTAATTTGGAACTGAGGACTGAACCCAGGACCTTGCGCTTGCTAGGCAAACACTCTACCACTGAGCTAAATCCCCAACCCCGAGAACCTGCATTCTTAAGGCATTCTGTATGGGGTATTCTGATCTATATATATATATCTTAAAACCAGTTAAACCTCTCAACATGTTCCTTAATTATCACACCTTTCAGAATTCTTCAGAAATCTTTGGCTTTCATAGAAGGAATCTGAAGACTCAAGCTGCTAAATACTGAGAGTAACTATCACAAACTCTTTAAAGGAGGCTTCCTTGGGGCTGGGGTGAAAGCTCAGTGATTAAGGTGGAGTGCTCTTGCAAAGGCCCCAAGTTCAGTTCCCAGCATCCACCACAGCTGGCTCACAACCCCTAGAAACACCAGCTCCAGGGATCCAGTGCCACCTTCTGGCCTCTTGGAGCAACTGCACTCATGTTCATACACACACACACACACACACACACACACACACACACACACACCAGTACGTAAGCAGCGCAAATAAGACGGGCATGTGGTC